GTTTTGTTAAATGACAGAAGCTTCCTAAGAAACTTGAAAGGTCACAGAGCTCCTAGAAGAGGTGTTAGGTTGCATGATGTAGGCAGGCACTGTGATAGGTAGCTTATCACATAGGTGGTAGCTTGAAAATAAAAATAAAAAAACCCACAAAGAAACACGACCACCCCCCTATTTTTTTGCATATAAATGCGAACTTTTCACTATTGATTCTTGTGAATTCTTCTTTCTTTAGTACAACTTCAAACGAGTATGCATTTTGTTTCCAGGAGGAATGTGATGGTTTAAAATGTGAACTGTAATGTGTGGATAATTACTACCAGATGGGCAGTGTTTGCTTATTTGGACACACATGCCTGAAATCTGGTTTCTGCCATGGTTTGCTCTTTATGTAGGGTAGCTGTGGAAGGACTCATAGCTCTTAATGTGCAGGAAAAATTTGCAAAAGGTGAGTAGGGCTCTTGGGCTGGGCACAGCCTGTCTGAGGCTCTCAAAGCCCTGACTTGCAGGTAGGGTGTGGAGCTCCCACAGCAGGGCCACCGCCCCTGGCCAGCAGCGGGACTGGGCTGGGAAACCTGAAATGGTTAGTCTGGCTAGTTGTACATCCTCTCAAGGAAATAGCGTTGCCGGTTTGCCATAAACCTGCATGCTCCTGGATTTGGGATCTGCAAAGGAGCTGTGAGATGCTTGAGGAACACCCACCAGTTCCAACTTGAGAACTGCTTTTAACCCGAGCTCTTGGAGACTTTTTTTTGTCTTTATCCTGTGGAGATTTGTTACAGGTACATACCCAGGAAGGTTGGTTGATATAAGTACCTTTGTTCTTTCTGAGAGGTGGGCTTTTATAAAGCTTTCTGCTTTTAAAGTAGAGTCATGCAAACTGTTTGATGTTGATGTGTTTTCACTCTTGTTTGTATCTAAAAGGACCCTAGTCTGGTCTGTTTGAATCTCAAGCTGTAGCAAAAATAGCTGGTTGCCAGGAAAAATACTCTTAAGCCTGTAACTGGGCTGTGTAACTGCCGGTAACATAAACATGAATGACAAATTTCGTAATTTTTTCCATTCCTGACTTGGTCACTTTTGTCATCTTTAAACTGTAATGTTTTCCAGCCCCCTATGATGAACCTCTTCTTTTTCCGTCCAGTTGTAGTGGAGCATACCTCACCTTCCCAAGTGCCCTTGCTGTGTGAGGCACACATCCCCCTGAACTTGCTTGTCAGATTTTCAAAATGATGGATTTTTAACTGCTAATCTTTCACAAAACAAGAATTGTTCAAGTCTCCTTTTCTATGCTGAGAATGTTTTTTGTATCATCTGATAGCAAAGGGGAACCACCCTGATATTACCTGTGGCAAAGCTTTTACCCCCAAACTCTGCTCTTTTTCCTTTCTACAGCTTCCATGTTTGTGGAAGGGGGAGTGTTTTTGGCTAAAGCGCAACTGGATTTCTTGTGCACCTGCAATAGATTCTTTTGAAATAAGAAAAATAGGTACCCCAGTCATCTACATGATCTTGGCATAAACTCATAAATTGTGCCAGAACGCTCCCTGAGTCTCTGACAGCTAAGAGAGGATGATCTCTATTGCCAGATTTCTCTGGATAAATGAACAATGCCAAAATTGCTCAATCTTGTATGCTCCCACTTGATTCTGCTCTTTCAATTTCTGGTATTGATTTTTCAACCAGAATTTTGTAAAACATGAACTAGAAGATTACTTGATATTCCAGCCTAAAGCACATGCATGGCTGTCTTTAAATCAAATACTGAAGATGGCCCTTTCTGGATTATTCAAGTGGTCTTTGATATTTCACTGCACGTAGATATCAGGTCTTGGAAACTTTTAAGTTTTCTCGGGACCTGGAGCTTCGGTTTTCTCAGGGCTTACCTAAAAGTGTGCTAAATTAACTGCTAGTTGACTACTTATTGTAGCTGCTTGACCATATGAACTACTTGTTCTTATTTTAGGTTGGCATTCTCTGTGGCTAGCTTTTTCTGAGTATGTTCTTTAATAGAAGGTGATGATACCAGTCTGTCACAGTTTGCGAAACTGTGAATGGGCAAGCTGGAGGTTGAGGCACAAGGCTAAACATCACCAGAAAAACCAAAAGGGCTTCAGAGCAGCAGAAAGCAAGAAGCATTACAAAAAATAAAATAGTAAGGGTTATTCTATTTTATCTGGAGTTTTTAGTCTCAGCCTCTGTCAGTCCTTAATATATTCTGATCTTACATGCTCTTTTCCTATCAAATTGCTTTAACTAAAAACAAATATGGAATGTGTGGACCATGAAGGAGGCCTTTGGGAAACACTAAACAAAATGTTAGCATTTTTAAAGGATCTGCTGTGTTGTCCAGGCACTAGACTGAGGGCAAAATTTGAGATGTTTTACTGGTAGAGTGTGCTGGAAGAAATGAGAGTCAAGGATGATTTTTTGAGAATTAGAATGACGAATGAGTGAATATGCAAGCCAAGAAGGAGATGGGGAGAGTATTAAAAGTAAAATAAATCTCCTAAATGTGTTTGTATGCTAATTTGGTAATGGACAAGGCTACCATAAATGCTTTGGAAAATCCCATCAGGAGCCCACAGCATATTAAAGTGCTTTGGTAGTTAATTTGCTTGCAGATCCACTCCGTGGCTGCATCCCAGCGTGCTAAGGTGCAGCTCAAATACCTCACTGCAGCATTCCCATTTTCAGCATCGGATGCTGTGTAGCGGGAACCAGTGTTAAAAAGGAGCAAGACAACTCATCTCTCCTTCCTGAGCAGGAAAACGAAGAGCAGAGCAAGTCCTTTCAATAACTGAGCTCTGTGCTCTCCTGAGAATTTACTGTGGAGGGCGAGGTGTGGTTTGCAGTCTTAGCCCACGGTCAATGTGAAAAGCTGCTAAGTGGTTAATGTAAAATTGTAATGCGGCTACTGAACGCCTCCACCGGTGTGTCAGTGTCCAAATAACTGTTAAGACTGCTTAGACTGTAGTGATTAAAAGGAGATCTTTCACATACAAGGTCAAAAATGTAAGTATTTCTAGGAAAGGGCCAGCCCTTTCCTACTAACCAGTTCTTTCAGCTGCAGAATAATTTCCTGTAGCTTGCAGCAGATGAGAGTGTGGAGTATAATAATCACTCATTTTCATTAGTCTTGTGTCAGACATTAATACATGACTGGTTTCTGGGTGGCCATTCCCTCTGTTTTTTTCTGAGAACAGTGTATTTTACTGCTTTATTTGTTCTGCAGGCATGGAGTAGGTATCCCCACCTCTAGAACAGGGCAACCTGGTGAGCAAGCACTGACATCAGCCTGGGCTCAGTCTGCAGCGAGAGTGACCGAGGGCAAATGAGGAACTGGCTGGAAAGGTGGTTTTCCTCAGGGAAAATCTCAGGTGCAGGTGTGGCCCCGCCAGTCTGCAGACTCATCTACCTTTGTGAATTGTAGTTGTGTAGCAGCTGATGAAAAAGTCTACCTGATTTTTTGGAGCTTGGTGGTTGTTTGGGGTTTTTTTTCCTAATGTGTCCTAGCTGAAGGAGAAGCATGCAAAGGGAATTTCAAGCTCTTTGCGTGCGCAGGGACTGTGAACATAAGCCTGGGCTTTGACAGCAGCAAAGCTGCTGTATCTGTGGTTCTCCCATTCAGCTCGGGCCTCCCACAGCTTATTTTTGCATCAACAAATTAAGTGTGAAAGCAGCGTATAGCAAGCTCAAAACAGCTAAAAATAAGCTCCATTATCCGCAGAGAAGGGCAGCGTTCCCTTCACAAACCTGTCCGCTGTTGGAGCAAGTGGAGATCGATGGGTCTAATGTCTGGGGCTCGCCTTTCATAAAAGAAGGGCTGTGGCTTTAAGTAATCGCTGGCTGCTTGTGCCAATTGCAGAAGCTGCAGTATCTGCTGCTGTCGGGAGTGATCGGCACGGAAGTAGGATAACCTGCGGAGGCAAGGTCCAGCGTTGCCGCTCAGCCGCGGCCAGACCATCCTGGCTGGTGGTGCCACCACCTGCGTGTTGCCTATGAGTGCCGGGGGGCCAAGCAAGGGGCTGCTGGAGCTGGACGATGGGCTGCTCTAGCAGCAAACTGTGCCTCTATTCTCAGTGCGCTGCAGCAAGGGTAATTAGTATTTGTTTCGCAGCATTCTTCCGACAGCAGGGAGCTGGACAGGAGCTCGGCCACAAGCAAGGTGAAAGCGTCTCGGTGGTGGGAAGTCTGGACCTTCTGACCTTCGCACTGTGGCCATGGGTGTGAGGTGCTGATTGCCGAGACCATGAAGCAGCTCTGCTGTGGCTGTGCC